CCCGCGCTTCTCTCCCGTCACAGCTACCATGATGCAGCTGGAGCGTCCTCGCTCTGATCCTGCACGTGCTGCGCTCTCCCTCATCATCCTGACGCGTCTATTATCGCCGTGTGACGGCATCATCCTGTCCTATGTGACAATGTGTCACCCGTTATACATGTCATCCGTACTGGAGGCAACATAGTCTAAGAACATTCCATCAGAAGAGGAAATACCCCCCATAAGAACATTCCATCAGAGGAGGAAATACCCCATAAGAACATTCCATCAGAGGAGGAAATACCCCCCATAAGAACATTCCATCAGAGGAGGAAATACCCCCCATAAGAACATTCCATCAGAGGAGGAAATACCCCATAAGAACATTCCACCAGAAGAGGAAATACCCCCCATAAGAACATTCCACCAGAAGAGGAAATACCCCCCATAAGAACATTCGATTTTGGTTTCTTGCACACAGCAGCCACAGCTTTAAAATCCTGAAACCAATGAGTGAATGTTGGTTATTCACCCCGGATGAATGCGCGTGCGGTATCACTGGATAAATAGCTGGGTGAATGTTTTTATAAATAGACCTCAAAGTTTGGGATTTGCATATCAGTTGCTCCCCAGGCAGCGAAAGTGTTAATTTGTATCTGGTCATTCCTCCGGCTCCTCCTCCTCCGGCTCCTCCTCCTCCGGCTCCTCCTCCTCCGGCTCCTCCGGCTCCTCCTCCGGCTCCTCCTCCTCCGGCTCCTCCTCCTCCTCTGGCTCTCTCTTTGGATGGAATTTTTTTCAGCTGCGTTTTGTTAAACGAAAAGATTTGAATAGTTTGTATCAGACGCGGAGATGAATCTGTCCGGCGATACAAAGTGACTCCCAAATTGTTTTCACTTTGCAGCAATTAATTCTCCGATCGATTGACGTGTTTCCGCCAGAACTTTGTTGTCGTCATTCCTTTTATAGAACGCATTCGCTGTGCGCACATTAGCCTGACTGAGTCACATTAGCTGCTTGTTTGACCATCGTCTGGAGCGCTTGCTGTTCATTGTACATTCGCTGTATTGATAATACTGGGGCTGCAGCTGACCATTATTTTCATCATATTTTTTTTCAACTAATCGATTGGATAACAAAATCTCTCCTTCGCTCTCCTTCCCCCAACCAACTAATAGATGATGAGAATAGTTGCCAACTATTCTCATCGTCGATTTAGTCGATTAGTTGTTGCAGCTCTAGATAATTCATCCAATGTTTCATTCGCCGGCTCCGATCTCATTTTCGAAACCCAAAACTTTATTTTAACTATTGATTTATTGATAATTCATTATTGATCCTGTGTGGGGATTCACCGCTCTCCATCCTGCTCCCTCATCGATGAACACAACACACATTCAACAGTCTGCAAATGAGGGTTTTATCCCGAAATCTAGGCCTGTGCACGCCGGCTATTCACCCCCTGCACCTGGTGCTGCAACATGTCGTAATTCTCAGGAATAGCGAGGGGTGAATGTGACAAGATTCAGGTCTGAGATGGAGGAAGTTCCACCCGTCTGTCTCTCTTCCCGCTGAAAAAGTTTCTAGATCAGAGCCGCCAGTTTATATTTTGACCCGCGCATTACCGTTCTACAGAATACTGAGAAGAAACGTTTCCGAGGTTATAGGTTACCACTGACCAATGTGAGGAGAGCCAATGTGAGGAGAGCCAATACGAGGAGGGCCAATGTGAGGAGAGCCAATGTGAGGAGAGCCAATACAAGGAGGGCCAATGTGAGGAGAGCCAATGTGAGGAGAGCCAATACGAGGAGGGCCAATACGAGGAGAGCCAATACGAGGAGAGCCAATACGAGGAGGGCCAATGTGAGGAGAGCCAATACGAGGAGGGCCAATGTGAGGAGAGCCAATACGAGGAGAGCTAATGTTACATTTCTCTAATAATCTGCTGATTTCATTCCTGATGATCTGGTGGATGTTGAATTTTATTTTATTTTAGAAATATACTACATGGACCCCCCTCCCAATGCCGGGGTTCAGGTGTCTCCAGTGAAGGTTCTGGTGATCCTCCATCATACAAAGACATTGTAGACAGTTGGGATCTTCCAGCCTTGTGGTCACAGTTTGGTGAAGACCCTTTTCTGTCCCCCCCCCATGATTGTCCCCTGTGTACAAAGCTCCATACAGACATGTGACCAGTGTGGTGGAGGAATGCTGATTGTGAGGGGCGTCTTCTCATCCGCCATCAGTACCAGACACCCTCCATCAGTACCAGACATCAGCACCAGACACCCTCCATCAATACCAGACACCCTCCATCAGTACCAGACACCCTCCATCAGCACCAGACACCCTCCATCAGTACCAGGATTCCCCAAGGTGGGCAGGACAAGACTAAGGGCAAATTAGGGTATTTGTGAAGATCTCACTGGAGGTCCAGTAAGTTCCCGTTGGACTCGATCCATAAGCAGAATTACACTAATCTTTGTAATCTCTGTGAGATTTGATCTTGGAGGGGAACTGCTGCACTCCGTCCCGGAACCCCTATGTATAAAGGAGGGCGCTGTAGTAACCACGGATGGCGCCGCGCATCTTCAAATCCAGTAATACCTCGGGGTCATGAACGCTTCTGTCCGCAAACAATTCGGTTCGTGAACAGGAAGTTCAGCAAATCTTTGCCTCCGTTCGCAATCTCGGCATCGGGTGACGAACACGACCGCAGCCATCTTCCCGCTCTGACACGTGGGCGTGGCTTCCTCTAGCCGAGATCGCGGTCCGAACGCAGTTTGATTCGGTTTGCGACCAGAATCGCGGAATGAATTAAAGGAGAACTATGGGGTCAGGGCTTTCCCCCATAGTTCTCCTTAGGGTAACGGGAGGACACAAACTAGCGTCCTCCCGCCACCCTATGCTCAGTATATAGGGAGCTACAGCTCGCGGTATACTGAGACGCCGCAGCCGGAGCGGATCCCGACATCGATGTCTGGATCCGCCCAGCTGCGTGTCTGACAGCTGGCTCTGCCTATCTAGAGGCTGTACCCGCCCCCTCCCCCGTCCGTTCCGCCAGTCAGCGCTGGAGGATCGGATCGGGGAGGGGGGAATCCAGCCCCTCCCCCTGTCACGGCAGAGAGCCGTGACAGGATCGAGAGGTGAGCGAACGCCGGTATGTGTTCGCTCACCTCCCGATCTACTGAGCCGACCTGTGACAGTCTCATTGTCACAGGTCGGCTAGAACTATGAGGTGAGTGACAAGCCCCCCCCACTTTAAGTTCGTGAACCGAGGTGCCGCTGTATATGATAAATGTCACCAGCACACGTATGTCTCGTGTCCATAACCCGTCTTCTTTATAGTGCGATTTGGACACGCCGACACTAAATACGTACAATGTATCTGAGCCGAATCTCCGCCCCTCTGAGCTCTCCTCACCGGACGCGTCCCGTACGGAAAATAATCGCTGAAATCCGGGAAAACAAACCCGTTCCCGGCGCTCGGCTCGCATTCTTGTCATTTGTTCGGCCAATCAGATGATCGATTTCATATTTGGTTGTGTAAACGACGCCCCGTTCCCCGCCGTGGCGTTCCCCGCGCCTCATCCGCCTACAATTCCCGGGACGGGGCGGACGGCACGAAAGTAAATACGGCGCGTCTCCTTCGGATCCGTCGCCATTCTTCAAACATTGATATTTTTGGTTTAACATTCAGCCGGAGCCGCCACACGGAAGCTGATTATCATTTTGGATGCGATGGCGGATTTCTTGGAGAGACGAATATTAGCAGCAGAAGACGCTTTTAATTTGATCTTCTTTTTTCTCTCTCGTCCCTCGTAATTGATGGTGTGTGTAAGTGATCAAAGTTGGCTGATTTGCATAGCGCTCTACATCAAACACTCCGGCGTCCTCTGGGGTCCTCATGAAACACTTGCCACTGCAAAACAGAGAGAGAGAGAAAGGGGGGACCGCGCTCGGGGGTTGGAAGAGCCCCGAAATCCTGCAACTCGCCTGCACCGACTTTAACGCTGCCGGCGCCGGTTTGTTCTGCGATCTGCCGAGCGGTACCGGTATGGTCCAGTTTCCTACAATTCTGTCTTCCTGAATGAATAGGTCTGTGAAGGTTCCTTCCTCCGGGTCACATGGTATATCTGTAAAAAAAAATAAGTCAAGGCAACTGGACTCGCCGTATGTTCCTTGAAGACGTTTCACCGGTCATCCGACCAGCTTTCTCCATTCAGAATGACTGCGAATGTCATTCTGAATGGAGAAATGAATGAAGCAGCGAGGGGAATGAAGCTGAAGTTTTATCTGTTTATATTTCCCCTCCCCTGATTCCCCCTCCCCCAAATTATTATTACATTCCTTATTTTAGTCCCAGTGATGTCATCACCGGGTCTCTATCCTTCTCTGTACATAGCAGGCAGATCATGGCTGGTGGGAGGGGCAGATCATGGCTGGTGGGAGGGGCCAGCGGGGGCACTGTACACTGCTTCCTGAAAGCATCACAGCACCCTTCCTCAGCACTCCTCTCAACAGCCCTCAGACCTGATGCAAGCAGTGGGTGGGCTCTTGGGAGGAGTTATGCAAATATCAAACTGCCTTGACGGGTGGATGTCAGTGTGGAGGAGTGGGCGGTCCTGGACCGGCACAAACCACCCTAGGGACATGTGACACTGAGCCTCCATGATCGAAAGAACTGAAATCCAATGAGTGAAAGGGGCGGGGCCAGGGACAGCCAGGCGGTGGAGGAAAGCGCTAGATGATGCTGGACGTCCTCCAGCCAGGAAAGGAGGCGGAGCTCTGTATGACTTGCTGCAGCTTGTAATGGACGTTGTGAGACGCTCCCAGTGTGCAGTGACATCAGAGGAAGACATTTCTATCACAGGGCCGGGAGAGTTCAAGCTTTGCTTTGTTTACATTCAGCCTGTCTGCATTCTGAACTGAGCGACATGTCTGCAGAATGGGACTGACATCAGCATGGAGGGTGTCTGCTCCTCCTTCCTGTCTGTGTTCATTGAAATAATGCGCAGTGCCAAATCCCCGGCACACGATTGGCTGATCAGATCGAACACTAGCGCCACTTTCTAAGTGAACACTTTCCGCCCCTTTAGAGAGTTGCGTTCGGCGCCGGGAGCCATAAACCATCATTTTCACGCCGCACTCGGTTACGTATTCACCGGAGATACAGTTCACAAACCGCTGGAAGCAGGCCGCTCCTCATAGGCTGAGCCAAGACCTGCCCCCACCCCCCCATCCCATGTGACCCCAGACAGCCAATTGCGTAAAGCAGAACATATTAAGGATCTCAGTCCTGGTCTGCATGCATGCCTGTTGTTCTTCGCACTGCAGACGGGATGAATGTAAACCCAGCACTGTTTACTGTGGAATGGCAGCAGTCGGAGCTCAGACGGGGAAGAAGGTGAAACGTTCTCTACCTGTGAATGTAAATCCGGCATCTTGTTACATTGTATGTGTTGCATGTTTCTCTTCGTGTAGTGATGGCGATTTTGTCTTTTCTTTGCAGGACTCAGACAGCAATAAACTGCGCTCCCTCTATTCCTTCCGAACCACGTCTACCTCACCACACAAGCCTGACGAAGGAGCTCGCGATCTAATGAACAGTGTTAATTTCGGGACGCCGGAGAGACGCAAAGGCAGCCTGGCGGACGTGGTGGACACCCTGAAACAGAAGAAACTGGAGGAGATGACGAGGACGGAACAAGAGGGTGAGTGCGGCTTGTCGGACGCGCGTGTGGGAT